CCCTCAGAGTAGAGGTAAGACTGAGTAGAGAGAACTACTAGCGGCTCATTGTTGCAGGTAGCAAGCTGTGTGGCTGGCAGAAGACACCAAGCAGGTTAAGGGCCAGTTTTAGTGTCTCTCAAAGCCATTGTGGGTGGAGAAGCACCCATAAGACAGAGGACAAGGTTGCATGGGGCTTCCACCACCTCCCTGCACTGTCCCTTATGGGCATGACCCAGATCCACCAAGCTTGCTGCAGGCCTTGGTAGATTTTCCCAGCGAGATATCACTTGCCAGTGGAATTTGATTTCTGCATAGGACTGAGAGAAGAACTTGAGGTGGTGGGATTTTTGAGTGGAGAACTGGCAACTAAAACCACTTACAGGGTTTTCATGAAGTCTCCAACTTGGAGATGTGGACCAAGAGGGTTTTAACCAGTCTGTTTTTGTCATTAGTTTCCAGCCACTTCATGACCATCCTGAGGAAGAGAGTTTGTTACCTCCTCCACGAGCGTGAGAAATCCATGCACGATCCAAAGGAATGGGTTTTCCACAGGGCATTCTCCACTGAATTCATCCTGGAAGACACGTCCTTCAGGTAGGGCTGGCTGTGGGCCACCTCCCCCATGTCAGGTAACCCTGTTCCTAAAACTGCTCTGCATGAAGTGTGAGGCCCTTTGCTTAAAGACAAAGATGTGACAGCCAAGGAATGTAAAAATACAACCTGCTCTAGTGGAAGGTGTCCCTGCCCATGGCAGGGGGTTGAAACTTGATTGTCTTTAAGGTCCCTTCTAAGCCAAACCAATCTAGGATTCTAGCCTAGGACAGGGTAGGGGGTAGGTGCTGCTGAAAAGTCATCATCCCAAAAGCCCCCTAAAAAAATCTGTAAGAGGACTGTTGATTTTGAGGAGCCTTCTTTTGGAAGGGCTCTTCTGGCAGCAATGTTGGTTGACATTGAGATAGACAAGGACGGGTTTATGTCAAGCCTGGATGTCCACACTGGGCATCTTCCGAATCACAGAAGCATTGAATCGAGGTTGGAAAAAAACATATAAGTCATCATCAAGTCCAATTGTTGCCCCAGCACTGCCAAGGCCACCTCTAACCCATGGCACTGAGGGCCTCGTCTACACAGTGTGTGAACACTTGCAGGGACATGACTCCGGCGCTGCCCTGGGCAGCCTGCTCCAATGCCTGAGCACCCTCTGAGGAAGGAATTGTTCCTCAGCTCCATCTAAACCTCCCCTGGTGCAGCTTGAGGCCATTTCCTCTTGTCCCATCCTTTGTTCCTTGGGAGCAGATGCCAGCCCCCTCCTGGCTCCATCCTCCTGTCAGGCAGTTGTAGAGAGCAATAAGGTTCCCCTTGAGCCTTCTCTTCTCCAGACTAAACCCCCTAGGTCCCTCAGCCATTCCCCATCACACTTGTGCTCCAGGCCCTGCACCAGCACCTCAATGTCTTTCTTGTAATGAGGGACCCAGCACTTTGCCTTGTTGAACCTCATGCAATTGAACCTCACATGACTGGAATATAGTCATGGAGGGCTATGTCCTTCTCAGGAAAGACAGGCCAGCCAGGTGGGGTGATGGGGATGCTCTTTATGTGCGAGAGCAACTACAATGCACTGAGTTCTGTCCAGGGACAGATGACGAGCGAGTTGAGAGTCTGTGGGTGAGAATTAAGGGGCAGGCTGGAAGGGGCGATACGGTTGTGCGTGTCTGTTACAGGCCACCAGATCAGGGTGAGGAAGTTGACGAGGCCTTCTACAGGCCGCTGAGAGCGGCCTCACAGTCACAGGCCGTGGTCATCGTGGGGGATTTTAACTTCCCTGATGTTTGCTGGAAGGACCACTCGGCAACCCAGCCACAGTCCAGGAGGTTCCTCCAGTGTATGGATGATAACTTCCTCCTGCAAATGGTGGATGAGCCAACCAGGAGAGGAGCGCTGCTGGATCTCATCCTCACTAACAAGGAGGGTCTGGTCGAAGCAGTAAGGGTTGAGGGCTGCCTTGGTTGCAGCGACCACGAGATGGTGGAATTCAGGATCTTGTGTGGTAGGACCAGTAGAATAGCAAGTAGAATTGCAACCCTGGACTTTAGCAGGGCAAACTTTGGCCTTTTCAAGCAATTGCTAGGGGAAATCCCATGGGCAAGGCTGTTTGAAGGTAAAGGGGCCCAAGATAGTTGGTTGGCATTCAAGGATTGCTTTTTCCGAGCTCAAGATGAAAGCATCCCGACACGTAGGAAGTCAAGGAAGAGGGCCAGGAGACCTGCGTGGCTAAATAGGGAATTGCTGGGTATGCTCAAGTGGAAGAGGGGATTTTACAGGTCATGGAAGGAGGGGCTGGCCACTTGGGAGGAATATAAGGCTGCTGCTAGAGGATGTAGGAAGGCAGCTAGGAGGACTAAGGCATCCTTAGAATTAAACCTGGTGAGAAGGGTCAAGGACAGCAAAAAAAGCTTTTTCAAATACATGGCAGATAAAACTAACACCAGAGGCAATGTAGGCCCACTGACGAACGGGATGGGTGCCCTGGTGACAGAAGATACAGAGATGGCAGAGTTACTGAATGCCTTCTTTGTCTCTGTCTACTCTGCTGCAGGCAGTCCTGAAGAGCCCTGTACCCCTGAGACCTTAGATGAAGTCAGGTCAATGGAGCAGTTTGCCTGAGCCGACGAGGAATGGGTTAGAGACCAGTTGAGCAATCTGGACATCCATAAATCCATTGGTCCAGACGGGATGCACCCGCGGGTGCTGAGGGAACTGGCGGAAGTCATTGCTAGACCACTCTCCATCATCTTTACCAAGTCTTGGGAAACGGGAGAGGTGCCTGAGGACTGGAGGAAAGCAAATGTCACTCCAGTCTTCAAAAAGGGCAAGAAGGAGGACCTGGGTAACTATAGACCGGTCAGCCTCACCTCCATCCCTGGGAAAGTGATAGAACACCTTATCCTTGGTGCCATCTTAAGGCATATCAAGGATAAGAGGGTTATGAGGGGCAGTCAACATGGCTTCACCAGGGGGAAATCATGCTTGACCAATCTCTTAGCCTTTTATGAGGAAATAACACGGTGGATGGATGATGGCAGAGCGGTGGATGTGGTCTACCTTGACTTCAGCAAAGCATTTGGCACAGTCTCCCACAGCATCCTCACAGCTAAATTGAGGAAGCGTGGTCTGGATGATCAGGTAGTGAGGTGGACTGTGAACTGGCTGAAGGAGAGAAGCCAGAGAGTTGTAGTCTATGGGGCGGAGTCTAGTTGGAGGCCTGTAACTAGTGGAGTGCCTCAAGGGTCAGTACTGGGACCAGTATTATTTAATATATTCATCAATGATTTAGATGAGGGAATTGAGTGTACTATCAGCAAGTTTGCTGATGACACTAAGCTGGGAGGAGTGGCTGACACGCCAGAAGGCTGTGCTGCCATCCAGAGAGACCTGGACAGGCTGGAGAGTTGGGCAGGGAATAACTTGATGAAATATAACAAGGGAAAGTGTAGAGTCCTGCGTCTGGGCAGGAACAACCCCAGGTTCCAGTATAGGTTGGGGAACGACCTGTTAGAGAGCAGTGTAGGGGAGAGGGACCTGGGGGTCCTAGTGGACGACAGGATGACCATGAGCCAACACTGTGCCCTTGTGGCCAAGAAGGCCAATGGCATCCTGGGGTGTATTAGAAGGGGGGTGGTTAGTAGGTCGAGAGGTCCTCCTTCCCCTCTACTCTGCCCTGGTGAGACCCCATCTGGAATATTGTGTCCAGTTCTGGGCCCCTCAGTTCAAGAAGGACAGGGAGCTGCTGGAGAGAGTCCAGCGCAGGGCAACTAAGATGATTAAGGGAGTGGAGCATCTCCCTTATGAGGAAAGACTGAGGGAGCTGGGTCTCTATAGTTTAGAGAAGAGGAGACTGAGGGGTGACCTTATTAGTGTATATAAATATATAAAGGGGGAGTGTCACGAGGACGGAGCCAGGCTCTACTCAGTGGCAAACAATGACAGGACAAGGGGTAATGGGTACAAACTGGAACACAAGAGGTTCCACTTAAACTTGAGAAGAAGCTTCTTCTCAGTGAGGGTGACAGAACACTGGAACAGGCTGCCCAGGGAGGTTGTGAAGTCTCCTTCCCTGGAGACATTCAAAACTCGCCTGGACACATTCCTGTGTAACATTATCTAGGTGTTCCTGCTCCGGCAGGGGGATTGGACTAGATGATCCTTTGAGGTCCCTTCCAATCTCTAGCATACTGTGTATTACTGTGTATAATTGGCCACAGCCCATGGATCCAGTGTGGCCAGATCCCTCTGTAGAACCTTCTTCCACTCCAACAGATTAACATTCCCACCCAGAGAAGAGCTGGGTTGTTTTGGTTGATTTGAGGGTCTTCAAGACTGATGGCCTCCCCTTGGCAGATGAGGGTTTATGGTGGGAAGTGATGTGATGAGCCAGGTCAACTCTTTTTCCAGGCAAGCCCTCTGGACACACCTGGAGGGCATCGTGGCCAACATCTTTGCCCAGATTCTCGCTGTGGTGGATGCCAACAACAACCTGGATCTCCTCTTGCGAGGCTCTTCGCTGCCAGAACTGTGGCTCCAGATGTTCCAAGAAGAAACATTCCTAAAGATTAAATACACCAACAAGTAAGAGACAGGGTGTGAATGACGTGGGTGAGGGGGTCTTCCTTAGGAGAGTAGAAGCTGGTGTTTGTAGTGAAACAGCAGCTCATGCTTGGGGTGCAATGTTTGTAACCTGGCCATGGAAGTTCCTGAGTGTCAAGACCCTGGCACCAACACTTCCCTGTTGTTCTAAGCTGTCAGCAGAACTGGCTCCTTCCCCGCTCTTGCCCACTTTTCCCTGACTTTCCTACCAGGTTTCTCCACAGGTTTCTGAACTCCTCTGAAGAGAACATCAGCAGGAGTTGGCAACGTCACCTGGCTGCTCCATCTCTGAACACCTATAGGCTGTTGCACAATTTAATCCTTCTTTCTGTTGTAATTCAAGGGCAGCAGATGCCAAGTTTTCTGTGTTATCTATGACCGAAGACCCGAACATCTCCCTCTTCTGCCAATTCCCATTCAGCTGGGTTTTGAAAGCCTACCTAGACAATGTCTGGGAGAAGGTCTATCATATGAAAGGTAATATCAGCCTTTCCAGAGGGAGCTTTAACCCAACTAGACTGCTCAAAATCCACATCCTTACCAGGAGGGACCATGGGGGCTGTATTCCTCCCTCCAATCATGTTCTACATCTCTTCTGCATTGTATTTCCTCTTCCTATGACAGCATTGGGCCTCTTCACCCATTGCTTTGCACTCAGCCACATGTCCACCTCAGTCTTGAGGAGGAGCTCACATTTTCAGCCAAGCTGCCAGTGTGATGTAGAATCATAGATGTAGTCACTGTCCCTTCTAGATCAGCCCCAGAAGCCAACGGAGGAAGTGGCCAGGTTCTACCAAACCTTCATCAAGAACATCTTGACGCCAGATAGCAGCAATCCAGACATGCTACGCTGTTACGCCAATGACTTCCTTAGGATGGCTTTTCCTGGACAAGATTTCTCTGTCTATGAGGTCAGTAAGGTTGGGTAGAGCACTAGCCTGAACTGGCCTTGGAATAAAGCCCCAGTGAAAACCCCAATGGATACTCCATACAACTGCTCACCCCTGCTGACTGTCCTGAGCAGTGATTGGTCCTTCCAGCTAACTTTCCCCAGTTTATATACCGGAGAGGATGCTCTGTGATATGGAATATGACTTTGGCTAGTTTGGGTAAGGTTTCTGACTGTGTCTTCTCCCAACATCTTGTGTCCCTCCTTACAGGCAGAGCATGAGAGACTGAGAAGTCCCTCATGAGACTGAGCCCCGCTGAGCAGCAACTAAACCATTGGTGTGTTACCAGCATTATGTTCATCCTACATCCAAACCACAGCCCTATCCCAGCTACTGGGGAAAAAAATTAACTATCCCAGCCAAAACCAGGACAGTGGCCAAATCTGATGTTCCTCAGCTGTGAGGAACCTTTGGTCTTAACTCCACCTTGAGAACTATTTGTGATGGAGAAACTTCCAATGGGCCACAACAGCAATGCTGAACAACCCACTTCAGTCCATTTGCTGTTGGCTTTGAGTGGAAATAACACCTTTTATCCCACCTGCAGGTTCTCTCCAAGGTCTTCCTGGCCACCGCAGGCCAGCTCTGCTCCTCCTTGGGCCTGGGGGAGATGGACTTTTCCCCAGTTTGGCTTCACATGGACTATTTCTACCTCCGGGATGATTATCAGCTATTTGTGGACATAGCAAAAAGCAATGACACTGTCATAAGTGAGCTGCAGGCAATGTATGAGAAGAACCCCCCAGAAATGGTGAGCAGAGAGCTGTGTGTGCCTTCAGACCATTCTCCTAGGGTATTTGAATGTTGGTGGTCTTCACAGCTTCCATAATTCAATTACATCCTCTGTAATTAGTAAGACATCCTTGTGTTTGTGCTGCTCTGGGTACCAAGTTGAAGACATCTTTGACCCTAGATGTGGGTGGAATTCATTGTGTCACGATCCAGTGACTCCAGCTCCTTCACTGTGGAGTGATGTCCACATCCCTCTTTCCAACAGCAAGCCATGGTTTCTAGAGAAACTCCCTGTGGTGACTTCAAGATCCTTCTTTCTCCTCAGCATGGTTGGACTCATTAAAACCCTTCCTGGTTTGCTGATGGCAGACCTTCACCTCTGAAAGTCCAGCTTAGCCCTGTCAGCTACTCCAAAAGCTATACCAGGATCTCATCATAGAATCCCAGACTGGTTTGGGTTGAAGGGACCTTAAAGCTCATTTAGCTCCAGCCCCTGCCATGGGCAGGGACACCTTCCACTAGAGCAGCTTGCTCCATGCCCCTGTGTCCAACCTGGCCTTGAACACTGCCAGGGATGGGGCAGCCACAGCTTCTCTGGCACTCTGTGCCAGGGCATCAGCACCCTCACAGGGAAGAGCTTCTTTATATCCCATCTAATTCTTCCCTCTTCCAGTTGGAAGCTGCTACTCCTTGTCCCACCCCTCCATGCTGTTGTAGAAACTCCTCTCCAGCTTTCTTGTAGGTTCCCTTCAGGGAAAGGGAGCTGCTCTAAGGTCTCCCCAGAGCCCTCTCCTTCCCCTGTACCACCCCCACAGTGAGCTCAGTTCCTTCCCTCAACTCCATTCCTCTCTTTTTGCACATGTCGTTCCAGTTTGTCACTCTGGATGCCTTGAACATCCTCCTGGAGAATGTGCAGCCCTGTGAAAACAGGCTTTTGCCCTTCGATGCCTCAGTAGCATGGCTCAAAAGTGTCAAGTCCATTAAGCCCTGGATGGAATGGATCAGTGAGGACAACTACCAGCTTCATTTCTACCAGAAGAAGCAGCAGCTCCTGGAGAGTGTGCTGTAAGTTCAGTCATTCTCCACTGACAGTAGAGCAAGCAAACCTTCTAATGTCTGAAAGTCAGGTGATGAACTGAAGTGACCATCCTCCTGGGGAGCTGGAGACACAAGTCCTCTTAACTGTCCCACTCCTTCCTGGTCCTTCTGGAGTCACAAGCATGATGGCAAAGTGTTGTGGTTTAAGCAAGACAAAAAGTGGCTTCAAAAAAAAGGTTTCTGGGGTGGGACAAGATGGTCTCTCCAAAAGACAATACTCAGAAGGCCCAAGGTTGGTTATAACAAGTAGGACCATGCTATCTAATCCTCCTAGTACTGTCTCAGAAGGTCCTCAATGCTCACAGGAGGAGTCACAGCAGCACTGGTGGGAAAGGAGCTCAGCAGGTCTGTGGTCCAACCTGATTGTCATCCTTTGGGGTGGGTGTTTTACAGACATCGCTGGCACTGCACCAACATTGTCTACATGTTGATTGACCACCTGCTGCACAATGAGACACAAATGGAGGAGAAACTCCTGCGGCTTGTGGTGAAGCAGTTCATCTTCCTCTGGAATGTAGGTTTTTCTGGGCTGGGAAGCTTGGGAGGGCTTTTTCTGCGGTCCCAGCTCTAGGGAGACCTCAGGAAAGAAGAAAGGCTGGAAATACCATCCAAAAGACAAATCCAAATAGGATTCAGAATTCAAAATGAGGATTTGGAATTGAGGAAGCTTCCTTGAGAAGGAAGTGACCTTGATCCACATCACTACCCTCAGATGTCCATGTAGTGACATCCATACACGGATCTGCTTGGTTCTCCTGCCTAGGCCTGTGTCCTTTCGGCACTGCCATCCCATAATATTTCTCCTCCATGTCCCAGAGAGATGTTTGTGCTGAGCTTGGACTGTGGGTTTCTTTTACAGCGCCTCTATACAAAGCTTCTGCCGGGCTCTGAACCAGAGAAGACTTTTGATTTGGTGGTGAAAGTGCTGAAGAAATGCAATGAGAATGCTGACATGGTGTATCTGGTGTAAGTGCAAGCAGAAAAGAAGTTGACCTTGGGGTCCTTCTCCATTGCTGTGTTTGTAAAGGGTGGGTCAGCACTCGGGGTAAACCTCTTTGGGTCAAAGGGAGGCCACACTGGTGCAGAACTGGTTGAGAACCTGTCTTGGAGGTGATGAGTAAAACCAAATCAAAACTCTGGAGGTCTCTGGAGAAGCTTCTCTTAGGTGTGGTGATAAAGAAATCAGCTCCCCTGAGCACCCAGGTTTCTGTCCCCTTCACTCAGCCATCCTCAACATGATTAAGCTCCTCTTAATCCATCAATGCATGCTGGAGTCCAGAACCTTGTCCTAGACTGCACCCCCAGAGCATGAGCAGAGCGGCAGGGGGGGGATTTTTTCCCTTTTCTGTGCTCTGGAGAGATTCCCCCTGAAGTCCTGATCCAGCTCTGGGGTAACATCACCAGGGTGACGTGGAGCTGCGGGAGCGAGTCCAGAGGAGGCCACGGAGATTCTGTGAGAGCTGGAGCAGCTCTGCTCTGGAGCCAGGCTGAGGGAGCTGGGCTGGTTCAGCCTGGAGAAGACAAGGCTCCCTAAGAGAAGACCTTAGGCTTCTAGAACAGTGTGTAGGGATGGGATGAAAGTAACGGGTTTCAGCTGGAAGAGGGAAGAGTTAGATGAGATAAAAGGAAGAAGCTTTTCCCTGTGAGGGTGCTCAGGTGCTGGCACAGGGTGCCCAGAGAAGCTGTGGCTGCCCCATCCCTGGCAGTGCTCAAGGCCAGGTTGGACACAGGGACATGGAGCAAGCTGCTCTAGTGGAAGGTGTCCCTGCCTGTGGCAGGGGTTGCAGCTGGGTGAACTTTAAGGTCCCTTTCAACACAAACTATGCCATGACTCTATGATACTTACGGGATTGTAGTAGATGCCTCTCTAAGGTGGGATGGTCCTCAGGCAGCTTAGAAGCTGTGGTGGGCCTTGAAGCAGTGGTGGTTCCCCTTGGTTCTCACCAGTGAGGCCTGGCCAAAGTGCCCATTCAGCCTTGCACCCATCCCAGGGTGTGCATTAGGCAGGAGCCAACCCTCCTCCAGTCTGGCAGCAGCACTGAACTCCTGCTTCTTTCCTTGGTGTCCCTCAGGAAGGGCGTGAAGGAATGCAAGAGTTGCCTACGGGAGATCACTGACCCAGCGGAGCTGCCCTGCGGTCACATCTTCTGTACTCGCTGCATCCTGGACTGGGACAACAAACAGTGTAAGATCTGCAAGGAGGAATTCCCAGAGGATTACACGCCCACTGCTTCCGAGGCCACGAGGTATCCTGGTGCTGGCAAAAACCTCCTTGCTTTGAGTGTCTTCTTGTTCAAAGTTGGATAGAAGCTGCTGAACAAACATCTGTCCATCTGAGGTCCATCTCACCTCCCTGCTTTGAGTCCTGTGCTCTGCAGGGAGAGGGACGTTGTTTCTTTTCTTAAGGTGGAGGTTGACCATGAGTCTTGGTTTTCTTCTGCCCTCCAGGGAAGCTGTTGCCTGTCACAACAAGTTCAGGAGGAAGTGCAATTCATTCTTTGTGGAGTTCATCAGCATCTACTTCCTGGGAGACAAGCAGACGCCGTCTGCCCAGATCATTCAGCGACTGCTACAGTTTGTGGCTTCCAAACCTAACCCTGAACATCAGGCATGGAGAAGGGGTAAAGGAGCTTGATTCTGCTCTACCTGGGTCTGTCCCCACCCCCTTGGAAGCACGAGTCTCCCACAACATCCTTTTCTCTAAACTGGAGATGTGTATTTTGTGGGTGGGCAGTTGGGAGGATGGGGAATTGGCTGGATGGTCACATCCAGAGGGTTGTGGTCAATGGCTCAATGGACACCAATGACAAGTGGCATCTCTCAGGGGTCTGTGCTGGGACCACTACTCCATCAACAACACGGACAGTGGGATGGAGTGCATTGTCAGCACATCTGTGATGACATAAAGTCATCACAAGACTGATGCAGTTGACATGCCCATGGGATGGGATCCAGAAGGACTTGGACAGGGAGCCCACGTGAACCTCATGAGGTTCAACTGGGCCAAGTGCAGGATCCTCAAAGAGGGAAGGTTCAGGCTGGACGTGAGGAAGAGCTTTTGTGTAGTGAGGGTGACAAAATTCTGGAACAGGTCGCCCAGGGGGGTGGTGAATGCCCCATCCCTGGAGACATCCCAGGCCAGGCTGGATGTGTTTCTGGACAGCCTGATCTAGTTGAAGATGTCCCTGCTTATTGCAGGGACGTTAAACTAGATGAGCTTTGAGGGTTCCTTCCAACCCAAACTCTTCTGTGAATCTATGATTAAATAACAGATGTCATCCTTCTTTCTCAGCCTACAAGCCAAGAAGTGAGTTGTCACCCTTTGAGGAGTGCATGGACACCAGTCCCACCATCCAGTCTTCCCTCCTGAAGCTGCTGCTGCGATGCGGGTCAGCCCCACGGTTTCTCCCAAACCCCATTGCTGAACCTCTTGGCTATATGGAAGCTGAGGCTCTGTCTCCTTTTCTGCACCAGGTTCAACAATGTCAAGGTTTACTTGGAAGAATACTTGTCCCAGATGGAAGAAAAGATAATGTCCCACCAAAGTAATATTGACCATTTCTACTTCATGGTGGTGCACTGTCTGGAGGTGAGGGTCCCTTGAGATGCACTGGGAGTCCCAACACCATAACATGGAAATAACATCCTCATCACATTAATTACCTCCCCCTCCATATCATCTTATGGATGAGGAGCCAAAGGAGGAGCTCACCTTGAAGAAAAGAGAAGGCCCAAGGAAGGAGGGGGAGCTGCTCGGTTCTAACCCACCTTCAGACTTAAAGATTGTCTCTCTCTTGAGCAGGATTTTATGTATTCTTCTTCTGAAGAAGACATCAACCAGCTGGCTGAGCACTGCCTCTCCACCGCAGACATAGCGGCCTTCTGCAAGCCCCAAGTCTCAAAGATCAACACCCTGGAGTTCATTGCCCAGCTCCGGCTCTCCATCAGCCACGTGGCCACTGTGCTTGGCAGATGGATGCTTCCAGGTGAGTACTGCTTGGTGTCAGATGAGAACTATGCCTACCAGCAGAAGGTCTTGAAACAGCCCCAGAAAGGTCTAACCTTGGAGATTCTTGATGGAAAATAACTGGGTTTAATAAAGGTTAATAACTTTCATGAAAGTTTAGGTTGTTTTGGACAAATTTCCAGATCTTCAGTCCCTAGACTCACTGTGGTCTACCTACATATTAGGGAGCCTTCTCACTGCCCATTGCCTGGAAGCTTGGGTAGAAGATCCTGGGTCTTCCTGCAACCTAAACAGCCATAGGGGCTGTGTTGGTGAAAGACGTGTACGATGGGCTGTGATCATGGGGACTAGGCATGACGAGAGATCTCCTTTTCTTGCAGATCCTGATGCACCCACTACAGAAAGGACTGAGAAAAAGCAAGACCTGGTGAGGGCAATGAAGAAGCTGGTTGCAAAGGCTCCAACTCCATGGCCTCAGGTGTTCCTCATCAGAAATCTCTGTGACCTCTATGGGTTCACTTCTATGTGGAAGATTCTCCAGGTGGAGAAGTGGATTCTACCCCAAGGAGTAGAAGTTTCACAGGTGAATTGTTTCTTGAGAGCCTGGTGCCAAAGCAGAGCTGAGGGTAGTGGGCAGATCCCACCCAGGGCTCCAGCCTTGAGATAAAGGTCTTGGGGGTGTCCCCTTAACCCATCAATGTGTGCTTGGAGCCCAGAATTCCCCCTGCCATGTCCTGGGTTGCACCCCAAGAACATGAGCAGCAGGGGAGGGAGGGGATTCTCTCCTTCTGCTGTGCTCTGGGGAGACACCCCCCCCCCCGCATTCCTGATCCAGCTCTTGGGCAGCAGCACCAGAGGGATGTGGAGGCGCTGGAGCGAGGCCAGAGGAGGCCATGGAGATGCTGCGAGGGCTGGAGCAGCTCTGCTCTAGAGCCCGGCTGAGGGAGCTGGGCTGGTTCAGCCTGGAGAAGAGAAGGCTCCTAAAGGGAAGACTTTAGAGCAGCTCCAGTGCTTGAAGGGGCTGCAGGAAACCTGGAGGGGGGCTTCTACAACAACGTGTAGGGATGGGGCAAGGAGTAACAGCTTCCAACTGGAAGAGGGAAGAGATGGGATATAAGGAAGAAGCTCTGTCCTGTGAGGGTGCTGAGGCACTGGCACAGGGTGCCCAGAGAAGCTGTGGCTGCCCCATCCCTGGCAGTGTTCAAGGCCAGGTTGGACAGAGGGGCTTGGAGCAACCTGCTCTAGTGGAAGGTGTGCCTGCCCGTGGAAGGGGGATTGGAACTAGATGAGCTTTAAGGTTCCTCCCAACACAAACCAGGCTGGGATTCTGTGATTCTTAACTCATGGGGCTCCCTTCCAGTTGAGGAGAGTGACAGGTCCTCACAGGCTCTTTCTTGTGCCTCTCTTGGATGTCCTCCACTTGCTCCTCAGGATCATAAAGTTCATCTTTGTTTTTCAGTGTAGAAGAGCCTGGTCCAATACAACATTGATGTTTTGTGTGCTGGACAAAGCACAAAAACAGCTTAAAAGCCAAGTATCCACAGCAAAACAGAGCTTGACTGTGAGTATCTGTTGTGCCTCTGACAGGAAGTCTCAGGTTTGGTCTGGAAGAGTTGGTTGGTCTGGAAGTGTTGGTTAGTCTGGAAGTGTTGATTGGTCTAGAACCTCCTGGAAACAGGAGCTTTCCATCTGTCTTGATAGAGAGCTGTGTCTTCTCCCTGCTGCCAGAGGACACAAATGGGGCTTAGCATGGGCAGTGGACCTCGGGGATGAAGCCAGAAGACTCCTCACAGGCAGGTGCCATGCTGGTGGCCTTCACTTACATCTGTTTTTTTTTCCAACCTCTGTAGTCTGTCATGAGACAAATGGAGAGCATCCTCCACTTGCCATCCAGCACAGATGAGCTGCCAGAAGACAAGCTTATGAAGATTGTGGATGCTTTGGGTAATGGCAAAGACCCAGGCCTGCAAGAGGTCGTCTTCCACACTGCGCTCACTCTGGCCTTGTTCCCAAGCCGCATCACTCACTTCCTCAGGAACATCAGCTTCAAGCCTAAAGTCGTGATGGTGAGTCTCCAAGGATGAGGTGGACAGCTCTCTCCATCCCATTGTACTGGTGCAATGTGTCCTGGTCAGCTTATTGCTTTGTAGATTGTTGTTCCTCTTCCTTCTCGTTCATTGGGCTGAGAAGTAACTGTGACCATTCATCCTTGTCTCCTTCAAATGTGGATGAGATCATAGAATCATAGAATAGTAAGGGTTAGAAAGGACCTTAAAATCATCTAGTTCCAACCCCCCTGCCATGGGCAGGAACACCTCACACTAAACCATATCACCCAAGGCCTCGTCCAACTTGGTCTTGAACACTGCCAGGGATGGCACATTCACAACCTCCATGGGCAACCTTTTCCAGTGCCTCACCACCCTAACAGGAAAGAATTTCCTCCTTATATCCAGTCTAAACTTCCCCTGTTTAAGTTTCAACCCATTAGCCCTTGTCCTATCACTACAGTCCCTAATGAATAGTCCATCACCAGCATGCCTATAGCCCCCCTTCAGATACTGGAAGGCTGCTATGAGGTCTCCAGGCTGCCTTTTCTTCTCCAGGCTGAACAGCCCAAACTTTCTCAGCCTGTCTTCATATGGGAGGTGCTCCAGTCCCCCAGTCATCCTCGTGGCCCTTCTCTGGACTTGTTCCAACAGCTTCATGTCCTTTTTATGTTGAGGACACCAGAACTGCACACAATGCTCCAAGTGAGGTTTCACGAGAGCAGAGTAGAGGGGCAGGATCACCTCCTTCGACCTGCTGGTCATGCTTCTTTGGATGCAGCCCAGGATACAGTTGGCTTTCTGGGCTGTGAGCGCACACTGAAGACGGCTCATGTTCAGTTTCTCATCAACCAACACCACCAAGTCCTTCTCCACAGGGCTGCTCTGAATCTCTTCTCTGCCCAACCTGTAGCTATGCCTGGGATTGCTCCAACCCAGGTGTAGGACCTTGCACTTGGCATGGTTAAACTTCATGAGGTTGGCATCAGCCCACCTCACAAGCGTGTCGAGGTCCCTCTGGATGGCATTCCTTCCCTCCAGCATATCAACGGAACCACACAGCTTGGTGTCATCGGCAAACTTGCTGAGGGTGCACTCAATCCCACTGTCCATGTCAACGATGAAGATGTTAAACAAGACCAGTCCCAACACCGATCCCTGAGGGGCGCCACTCGTTACTGGTCTCCAGACAGACTTTGAGCCGTTGACCACAGCTCTTTGTGTGCGGCCGTCCAGCCAGTTCCACCATCGAGTGTTTCACGTATCAAATTGATATCTCTCCAATTTAGAGACAAGGATGTCATGTGGGACAGTGTCGAACCCTTTACACAAGTCCAGGTAGATGACGTCAACTGCTCTACCTCTGTCCATCAGTTCTGTAGCCCCATCATAGACAGCCACCAAATTGGTCAGGCAGGATTTCCCCTTAGTGAAGCCATGCTGGCTGTCACCAAGCACCTTGTTGTTTTTTATGTGCCTTAGCAAAATTTACACTGTCCTAGTATTCACGGCAGGTTCCTCTGTTCAAAAGTTATTTTGCTCCTATATGTGAGGCTATAATTCTTTGAGTGTAAAGTCCAGGTCTCAAGAATAGGACCACAAACATTAGAGGTTATACTTTTCTTATACAGCCACTGGGCACAGAGAAGGAACTCTTCTTAACCCTCCCAAGTAGCCACGGTTTACTTTTGTCTACTCCTCCCCCAGCGTTTAAATCAGAAACAAGGATACAAGACAGAACAAATACTCTTCGTCCGACTCCGGCCGCACTCCTCGCGGAGAACACAGAACCGTGGATCAGGACTCCACACTCGCTTTGTAGCTATGCCACATCTCAGCCACACGCAGAATTCTTGCACACAGGGATCACGTACACACTCACACGGTGGTTCCGCTTACCCTTCACCTGCTTCCTACACAGTCATTAGCAGGTCCATCCAGGCTCCCAAAACCTAGGATGCAGCGAAAACCTGGACTCACCCTATCTACCCTCTGTATTGCTAGTGGCCACTCTATTGGTTGGCAAGTCCCCTGCTTGCAAGCCCTACCTGCCAAGGAGAAACTATGTTGTGCGCCAGACGAATCTGCTCACCTTGCCAGCAGCCCTGGGCCACACGTACGACTTATAGACCCCCAGAATTACCCATATAAATTTCAAGCATACCATTTTCCGCAGCCGGCACAGGTTGTTGTCTGTCCCCGCAGTGAGCGGACAAGGAGAGGAGCTCCTGCAGGCAAACAGCCTGGGGCACCTAGGGTATCTGCTCCTTAGCCGGTCCTGCAGCTGACAGAGGTCTCCTGTCTGGCTTGCCAAATTGATAAGCAGATTGACTCCACAACTCGTTAAAGTTGTAAAGTAGGTATGCTTTATTCAGCTGAGGCGCATGGGGGATAGTTCCTCCAAAGGCATGCGCACCCCAGCGTCATTTTCCCTCTACGTTTATTCTCTGAAGTGTTACATACGCAGTAGGTTGCACAACACACCAATACATATACATATCCTTTTCTCACTTCATATTATAATGAGCTAAAGCCTCCTTCACGCCTGTGCAGTGCCTCCTGGTGGTCATGGGCAGAGGTCTCGAGATGAAGTAAACGAGTCTTACTCACTCTTGAACTTTTCACCTCCGTCTTGCACGCATGCTCACTAGTCCCCTGCCTTTGGCTCAAACCACAGTTCCAGTCTCAGCCAGGTCTTAACCAGATGGATGGTGCTGCAAATGCAAACTTTGACAACCAGTTCCCCTTATCCTTTCTTACACAAGTTTACATTAAACACCAGCTGCACTTTTAGACAAATACTTATTGTTAACTAAAGAGATTGAAGATAATCAGAAGAATAACATAGGTTTAACTATTTGGTTATTAATTCAGGCCCCCTATCAAGCATGCCTTCCAGGAGAATCTGCTCCAACATTTTGCCTGGCACAGAGGTGAGACTGACTTGTCTGTAATTCCCTGGGTCATCCAATTTCCTCTTCTTGAAAATGAGGGTTATATTTCCCTTTTTCCAGTCATCAGGAACTTCACCTGACTGCCATGATTTTTCAAATATGATGGACAGTTACTTAGCAACTTCATTTGCCATCTCCTTCAGGACCCGCACATGGAGTTCATCAGGTCCCATGGACTTGTGCATGTTCAGGTTTTTAAGATGATCTCAAACCAGATCCTCTCCTACAGTGGGCCTAAGGTCTTCATTCTCACAGTCCCTGCGTCTGTCTTCCAAGACTTGGGTGGTTTGGTCAGAGCCTTTGCCAGTGAAGACTGAGGCAAAGAAGTCATTCAGAACCTCAGCCTTCTCCAAATCCAGGGTAGCCAGTTTTGCCGATAGCTTCTGGAGGGGGCCTACATTGTCCCTAGTCTGTCCTTTATTCGCTACATACCCATAGAATCCCTTCCTGTTATCCTTAACTTTGCTAGCCAAGTTTAATTCTAACTGGGCCTTAGCTTTCCTAACCTGGTCCCTAGCTTCCCAGACAACATCCCTGTATTTCTCCCAGGCCACCTGTCCTTGCGTCCACTTTTTATAAGCCTAAACCTTATAAGCATAAGAGATGTGGGGTCTATGTGTGATGCTCATCTCTTTACTGACTCAAGGGGAACTGTGGGCCTGGCAGATCTTTGTTGGTGGAGATTAAGTGGTTTGAAGCCCAGCCAGAGCTTCAATATTCCTTTGCCAAAGGTCTTCCATCACTGAGATGATGGTGGAAATGCTCATTCCCCTTGGATGAGTCCATGCATGAGTTGTTCCTGTTATTGGAGGGCTGCAGGAAGCAAGCAGGACATTTGCTGCTTTTCCTGGAAGTGTCTCTTCTCCCTTCCCGTCAAGATCATGGTTGGCTCATGACGTATTCAGCTCCAGAATCAAAACTCCTAGATAACTGGACTCTTGGGGGCTTTGCTTCTGTCTGGTCACTCCAGCCTCATGTCTGTCTGTCTGTCTCATGTACTTGACCTGGTCCCCATTCTTCACCAGAAGTTTCTCCCTGATGACGGTGGCCACGTAGGACCTTTCTTCTCCACTGCTGGCTTTAGAAGCCCAATTGTTCCTCAGATGGGTGCGAAGTGAGCAAGAGAGATGGTTACTCCACACCTCACCTTCTATTGTGTTTCCTTTGCAAGGGGTCCTACTTTCCCACCATGCCTGGTGACCTGCTTTTTGATGAGGACAACTGGAAAATTGGTGAGACAGAGAAGATCTGGAGTAAGTATTGGGGGAATCTCACTGCTCTTGTGTGTGTTGGGGACCCACCAGCAACTGATAGAGATTTGCCAAAGGATGGAGGGAAGGGATTAAAGACTCTGCAGGCCGTCTCCATCTTTCTGTGTAGAAGGTGAAGTTCATCCTTCCTGATCTCCACCTGCATGGAGCAACCTTGGGTCCTTTACGAGAAGTTCTGCGAGAGGTGTGTGGTGGGGCTGGATTCCAGGAAGTGGGGGCCAGACCTGTTCACTCTCTTGGGGAGCTTAGGGCCACGTTCCCATCGTGGAGGTTGTTGTGGAGATGACAGACTAACCATGTCCTCTTTCTAGGCTGTCAGTGTGGCTTGTGCTGGGTTGTCACCAAAGTAAGTGCCTTCTTCTGGCTGGTGGTCTTTGCAGCTCTGTCTTCTTGTGCTTCTCATTGCATCTCTGTCACTTCCATGCATGGAATGGAGCTTCTCAGGTCTTCTTCTGGCTCTCAGAGGTGCCCATCCCCTTTGCACCATCTTGAAACACATCTTGGTCTCTTGGCTTGGCTGCTTCTTCTGGGTGGCTGCTATAGACTCTCATGCTGCTGTGCTGATCCTCTCCTGATGTGGACTCCAATGCCACCTCTGTGCCAGGTGGTCTTTTAGCTGCAAGAGCAACTGCAAGGCTCAGAAGCCAGCTGGGCTCTTCTCCAACTCAGGTGGGTTCATCTCCCAGCAAGGCACTGGGCTAAATGGAGCTGGGATTTGTGCCTCCCCATGGAATGCTTCCAGGTCTTGCTTTATTCTCATCTCCAGACCGACTCCTAGACATATCCTGTGGGCTGTAGGAGGAACCTGGTTGGTCTGGAGATGTTTGCTCACATCTCCTCCCACTTCTTGTTGCCTGTTGCAGTAAGCCCATGTGGAAAGCCATGCAGAAGCCATGGAAATCCTCTGGGTGCCTTCAGCTTTTGCTTGAAGCCTTTAGCACCTGGGTGGTCTCCCAATCTCCTCTCTCACCCCACCCTCACGTGTCCAAATGCAGTGTGGGCTTCCCATGGAAGTGAAGAAGTGCAAGTGTGGTGCCGCTGTTGGGGGAACCAAGCACACACCTGAGAAAGGCTTTATGCAGAAGGAAGTGTAAGTCAACCTTTTGCAGTCCCAGAGGTCTTCACCTGCTGACCTAACCCTCCCACCCTTCCCCGAGCACAGGGGAAATAGCCAAAGCAAAGGTCTCTTTGTCCCATGGTCCCATGGTGAGACCTAGCACGAGATGTGGTGGGTGATTGCTCCTTCTTGACTCAGCTCTGAGGATACAACAGAGAAAGGCTACATCCTGGAGAGCCCCATCTCACGGATGACTGAGCCGGAGAGGTGCCTGTCTCCTGCCTGTGTGGCTCTGGCGAGAGCTCTGCTCCATTCCTCCCTCCTGCTGGGGATCTACACAGACAAACAGGTCAGTGAGCATCACCCTGTGAGGAGCGCTCAGCCCAGCTTGGGAGGAGACCTCCCTGAGAGCCTAAGGGAGGAACCTGCCACATCCTTCAGGCCGTTCTGGACCTGATGAGAGAGAAACCAGAAGATGTGGAAAAATTCTTCTGGGGCCAGCTTAAGAAAGACTTGGAGTGCCTGGCAGAAGCGCTCAGCAGGAACATGGAGGATGCCCTGTTGACTGTGCACCTCTTTCTACAGCACCTATGCAAGGACAGCTCAGCAGGTAGGGGAACCAATGGAGGTAACCAGAAGGCATGTGGTGGTTGGGTTCTACCCAGGACCAGTGTAATGTAATTGTTTCCTCCTTCCTGGGGTAGTCTTCATCCCAGGAAAGCAGTGAGAAGACATGGAGGACCATGAGGGCAGTGAGCTCATTCAGAGCACTTGGGCCAGAGCAGCTTGAGGGCATGAGCAAACTAGGAGATACAGACCAGTCAGTTTCACCTCTGTGCCTAGCAAAATCTTGGAGCAGATTCTCCTGGAAGGCATGCTAAGGCACATGAAAAATAACAAGGTGCTTGGTGACAGCCAGCATGGCTTCACTGAGGGGAAATCCTGCCTGACCGATTTGGTGGCCTTCTATGATGGGGATACAGAACTGATGGACGGGGTAGAGCAGCTGATGTCATCTACCTTGACTTGTGCAAAGTGTTCAACACTGTCCCACATGACATCCTTGTCACTAAATTGGAGAGACATCAATTTGATAGGTGAACCACTCGGTCGACAAAGAACTGGCTGGATGGCCGCATTGAAAGAGTTGTGGTCAATGACTCTATGTCTGTCTGGAGACCAGTAACGAGTGGTGTCCCTCAGGGATCGGTGTTGGGACTGGTCTTGTTTAACATCTTCGTCGCTGACATGGACAGTGGGATTGAGTGCGCCCTCAGCAAGTTTGCCGATGACACCGAGCTGTGTGGTTCAGTTGATATGCTGGAGGGAAGGAATGCCATCCAGAGGGAGCTCGACACACTTGTGAGGTGGGCTGATGCCAACCTCATGAAGTTTAACCATGCCAAGTGCAAGGTCCTACACCTGGGTTGGAGCAATCCCAGGCATAGGTACAGGTTGGGCAGAGAAGAGATTCAGAGCAGCCCTGCGGAGAAGGACTTGGGGGTGTTGGTTGATGAGAAACTGAACATGAGCCGTCTTCAGTGTGCGCTCGCAGCCCAGAAAGCCAACTGTATCCTGGGCTGTATCCAAAGAAACATGACCAGCAGGTCGAAGGAGGTGATCCTGCCCCTCTACTCTGCTCTCGTGAAGCCTCACTTGGAGCATTGTGTGCAGTTCTGGTGTCCTCAACATAAAAAGGACATGAAGTTGTTGGAACAAGTCCAGAGAAGGGCCACGAGGATGACTGGGGGACTGGAGCACCTCCCATATGAAGACAGGCTGAGAAAGTTTGGGCTGTTCAGCCTGGAGAAGAAAAGGCTGCGTGATGGATTATTCATTAGGGACTCTAGTGACAGGAGAAGGGGTAACGGATTAACAGTTAAACAGGGGAAGTTTAGATTGGATATAAGGAAGAAATTCTTTCCTGTTAGGCTGGTGTGGCACTGGAATGGATTGTCCAGGGGAGTTGCGAATGCTCAATCGATATCTGGTGGTGTTCAAGGCTAGGTTGGAAAGAGCCTTGGCTGACATGGTTTAGTGGGAGGTGTCTGTGCCCATGGAAGGGGGGTTGGAACTAGATGATCTTAAGGTCCTTTCTAACCCTAACTATTCTATGATTCTAAGGGGGTATCTGCATCATCCCTTCTGCTCTCGGCGCCTCTTATTTCTACATCAAGCTGCCAGGAAACCCAACAATGCTCTGGGCAGACCCCAGGCTCTACAGGGTAAAAACTCATGTGTTCCTCTGTGTCTTCTCTAGGTGATAGTACGGCTTTGGGCATCCTGCGTGAGAAGAAGGATCGGGAAGAATGGGAAACATTGTTCAAAGCCCTGGCTAAGCCCATCTTCCAGGTATGCCTGGTCCCAGCTGCTGCCGCTATCACATACCCAAAGCACCATTTCATGATTCAAAGATCATGTCCATGTCCGGACACATCTGCTGGGCTCAGTGTGGAAGAAAAGATTTATCACCTCTTTTATGAATGGGGACCTTGTCGTGGTGTGGTCTCCTGGTTCGCTCCAGCAGAGAGCTGGCTTCTTGGACACTTTGATTCAGATCCTCCTTCAAAACTCATTGGTTTTCTTCCCTTGGAAAAACCACCTGTGGGTTTCTGCCTGGGCACTTGGGTTCTTGTCCCTTTGGAGACCAGTTCTCCCCATGTTGCCCACTTCTCCAGTGCCCTCATTGCTTTTCTTTGTTCTGAGACCCTGTGAATCCCCTCAGGCCTCTTGAGTGAGGAGAGGTGGCTCCTAATGACCCTTGGCTTCTTGCAGGAGCTGGAGCACAGCCTTAATTCTATCAGGGAGCAGAGGATGAATGAAGGTCCCCAGAGCTCCAGCCTCCTCCTGAAAATAGTTCGTGGCCAGACACTCCCTCTCCAAGACCTACCACAGCAGGGGCTGATCAACCAGCCCTGCATGTGGCAATTGGAGCAGAAGGTGACCATCCAGACTCTGATGCATTTCCTGCAGCTGGAAGGTGGAGAAGACACTGGAAGTCCATACCCGATTCTGCTGGAGCTCTTGTCAAAGGTTGGTTGTGGGAATATCCTCTCTCCACCAAAGTACATGCAATAGATTCAGCCTGGTTGGTGTCTGTGGGTAACTATTTGCTCCACCCTGTGTTTCTTTGGAACATCCAAGCAAGACAAGTCTCCCTTGTCCAGATCCTCCTCCATTTTCTCTTCCAGCTTGAGAACATCCAACACGTCCAACGCCTGCCTGACATCTTCCGGCTGCAGAATGCCCTGATCCACTTCTTCCAAAACAGCCATAAAGGGGAGCACTACACAGTCCAGCAGTTCCTGGACCAGCCCGAGCTGTCAGGTGTGCCATGGAATTACATCACCCCATAGCACCCAGATGCTCCACCGAGACGCTGCTGCCATAGTTGCTGTGGTGGAGGCAGTGCTAGAGCAGCCCATCAAGGCCTTGCTTTGAAGGACCAGTTTTGGAGGGGAGTTTAGGAGAAGGTGGAGGCCTAAGAAAATGAGATGGATCCAGGGCAGATCCTTTCTCCTGGGGCATGTGGGGCCTGGCGAGGTTCTTCTGCCATGTGCAAGGTGGCTGAGATGGGCTTTTCAGCTCTTAAGTTGTGGTGCCTGGTTGGTTGATGTCACACATGGTCTCATGGAGGCTTGAAGCTCAAGCAAAAATGGTTTGGGTGACACCTCCAGCCATGTTCCTGTTGAGAGACATTCTCTGAGCTGACCAGTCTCCTGGGAAGATGCCTTGAGGGGGCTGCTTTTTACTCTCTCTGTCTCCACAGAGGACCAGCGTTTGGCTTTCAGCAGAGCTATTGAGACCATCCAGAAGGTCTGGAGCAATATTAAGATGAACCCATCCATCTCAGGTACGTGGTCATCTCCAGGAGGTCCCTTCCCTCTTTCCTTGACTGTTTGGTCTGCTCTGAAGCCAAGCTGCTTTCTGCACCTACCATTGCTAGCAAAGCTGCTGAGCTTGCTCCCCACCTGCTGAAAAAACATTAGAACCCCTCCTGAAGATACAAAACCTGATAAAGAACCCTTCCAAGACCTCAGCAGGAGGGAGGATGTCCCCTGGCTCCATACAGTGGGTAGAAGACCTCCTTTTACAGGCATCACCGTCCTGCCAGACCTCTTGCCCAGTGACATCAGCACCAGCACTGCCATCCTCCAGCTCCTCCCAACCCAACCGTCCATCAGCCGCCTGGTGGCCAGGTTCCTCATCCAGCTGCAGAACAGCTGCGTGGACACAGCCGCACGGGTCACCAAGGAGAGGCAGCGGTAATGTCCCAAGATGCTGACCCTGTGGCGTGTCCACCTCCTCCAGCAGGTCCTCAATGGCAGAGCAGGGCAAGGTGAAAGAGCCAGCAACCAGGGCAACCATTCCTCTCCCAGGTCCATCTCCGCAGAAGAGGTGAAGCCCTCCTCTGTGCTGACTGTAACCAAGAGCGACCTGGTGACCATGGCACTGACCAACTTGCAGTACGAGATAGACAAAGACGGCACCAAAATGACCTACTTCGACTTCCAGATGCTGCAGAGGCAAGTGGTTCATCGCTTCATCAGTGGAAAGCCCATCATCAAAGCTCAGGTGAGCTCCATATCGGCCAAATCAGGTTTTCCCAGGCCAGCAGTAGCATTTGGGTCTGTTTCCAGCCTCTTCTGGAGTCAGCAGACTCAACTGAAGGCACTAGCAGATGCCTGCTGTGCGTCTGCCTCTGTTCCTTGGGTTTCGAAGGAGTGCCATGGCCAGAAGCTACATCTGAGGCAATGAATTGGTGGTCTGAAAGGCAGCGTGCAGACCTACATCCCTGCTTTTGTTTTCTTTGAGAATAAGGGGGGTGTTGGTAGTGTTTAAAGAGCTTTGAGAGGTTTCTCCCAGGGTTATGTTCAGTCTGGAGAAGAGAAGCAGTGAGGAGACCTCAGAGAGGCTTCCAGTGTCTGATGGGACTCCAGAGATGCTGGGGATGGACTCTTCATTGGGGAATGTAGCAAAGGGACAAAGGGTGATAGGTTCAGACCAAAATAGGGGAAGTTCAGGTTAGATCTAAGGCAGAAGTTCTTCCCTGTGAGGGTGCTGAGGTGCTGGCACAGGGTGCCCAGAGAAGCTGTGGCTGCCCCATCCCTGGTAGTGTTCAAGGCCAGGCTGGACAGGGCTTGGAGCAAGCTGCTCTAGCAGAAGGTGTCCCTGCCCATGGCAGGGGTTGGAGCTGGATGAGCTTTAAAGTCCTTTCCAACACAAACCATTCCATGATTCCATGATTCTATGTAGGGTCCAAAGTGGGCCTGAACCACCTTGAAGGAGCACATGTCTGTGGCTGTTGGACTGCATTCTGTGTAAAAGAAGGCTGGAGGTGGTGGGAAAAGGGGACTTGAGGACACCAGAACCAGGCTTTCCTGTGCGTTGTCTCCTAAAGGTGGAGATCAGTCCACACTGGCTGTTCCCAGGACGTTTTTGGTCCCATCTTTCCAAGGGGGACTTTCTCCATCACCTTGCTTGGAAGTAAAGTGAGGTTGCAAGGTTTCCTGATCCTGCTCCATGGACATGCCTTCCTCCAGACATCAGGGATATCCCCTGATCTCCACAACCCCACAGTGTCCTCAGGAGGCCATGCAGAGCCCATGGGGACATCCCATGGGCTCACATCTGCCCAGCTGAGCTTCTCTACTGGCCCCCATTAAGTGACATGTTCATAACTATTTGTCCCAAACACTTTCCAGACAGCTCCATCCATTGCCCTCAACAACATGAGGACCCTCCAGACCACCAAGACGAAAGTCAGGGACCAACTGCCCCAGGTAGGAAACAAATGGCTGATTGTCTTCTCCTCCGTCCAACCCTGAGGTCTCCCTTCAATGCTATGGCATGATGGGGGCACAGAAAGTAGGCAGTTGTGTGGGAAGGACCAAGGCCAACTCAAGCAGGGGGTGGAGACCTGGCAGGACCCATTTGTCTTGCACAAGCTGGGAGGATATCACCCTTGTGGGTCACGTCCCCACTGTTCTTGCTGCCAGGAGATGCTCAGCATCAACCAGCAGAAGCACATCATGGAAGAGGCCCGCTCGGTCAATGCCCTCTCCAAGGTCTTGGACACCCTGAAGGTGGCTGCTGAGTTCCTGGCCATGACGGGTGGTGACCCGGAGTGCCCGCTGCCTGAGTACATTCGGCATGAGCTGAGGATGGATGCCGGGGCAAAGCAGCTCCAGGATGTGCCGGTGGGCAAGGGGTGAAGTTGGGTGGGAAGTGGGACCTTCACCCTTGCTCCCTCTTCATTGCCCATGGCTCCCACCACCTTCACATGCTGCAAGTGTCCGTGGAGGATTGAGGGTCTCATCCTCAAAGCAGAGGTCCTGGGCACCTGGGTGGGTTTCAAACCTTGGCTTGGTGGTGCCAGGTTTTCATGCCACATCCATCAACCCCTCGGGGACACCTCATGCATTGCAGATGGCCTGGGACATCTCTGTGGGGGACACCAGTGATGTGAGCCAAGGGGTAGTAGATGGGCCTGCCTGGGGGCTTGACCTGTGTGGTTGAGGTTCAGCTACTGAGGGATATTGGTGGCCCAACGCATGGTCCTCCAGGACACGCTGGAGTCAGTTGAAGGTGCATGGGACCTTCCAAGGAGCTGAGGGGCTGTTTCTCCATCACACTCCTTCAGGTGGTGCCCAACACCCGGCTGAAGCACATCCTGTCACTGTGGAAGGTCCTGGCAGCTCGCAGGTCCATGCTGTTGGTACAGATGAACCAGGTGAGGGAGATGAGATTGGGTTTGGAGGGGGTTTTGCTCCCTTGGGAAGAGAAAGGAGCCTTATGGTGCTGCAGCCATTTGATATCCCCATCTCGTCCCTCCCCTGGGTTAAATCAAGGTCTCTGGCCCATCCTGCAGATAATTCACTCCCTTGGGTACTTCCAAGACTGACTTATGTCTTGGAAGCTCTTTGGTGGTCCTGATAGAAGGTTTCACACAAGGACACAAGAGGGTTGTGGTTCTCATTTCTCCATGAGAAGTGAAGTCACCTCGGGGGGGGGGGGGGGGGGGGGAGGATGTGATGTGCTGGAGTCTCCTCTTTGCTGAAGGTTGGTGGTCCTGGCAGGATCCCTTCTGTCTGATGCCCAAAGAGTTCCAAGAGAAGCTGGGTAAAATGGAGGAAAAAGCCCTGTCCTCTGCGCTGGCCAACACCAACCTCGACCTCTTCCTCATTGAGCTGCATGAGATGATCACAGTGGCACTGTCCATCTTCCAGCCACAAGATGAGTAAGTCCAGGTTGTATCCTGGGACAGGCAGAGCAGTGGCACAAGTCACAGCTTCCTGGTGGGGTTCGGTTGGGGAGAGATCTCTGAAGGTCTCTGGTCCAAGTCCTGCTCCATACAGGTTACTCAGGGTCTCATCTGGTGAATCTCCATCTTTGGAGATGCTTGTGCTGGGGGTTAGCCCAAGGTGGCACCACCGCTGATGGAAAGGAGTTTTTCTCATGTCCAGTCATCTGCTGCCTTGTTGGCTTCTGATGCCACCAGAGACACTCAAGGGCAGCCTCTAGTATGAGGTGTTGGCCACCACTGACCAGCGACAGTTGGCCACCATTGAGAGCCACCATTGACCAGCGACCTTGGCCACCTTGAGAGCCACTATTGAACAGCAACCCCGGCTACCACTGAGAGCCACCACTGACCAGCAACCTCGGACACCACTGAGAGCCACCATTGACAAGCAACCTTGGCCACCATTGAGAGCCACCGTTGACCAGCATACTTGGCCAGCACTGAGAGCCACCATTGACCAGCATCCTTGGCCACCATTGAGAGCCTCCACTGACCAGAGACCTTGGCCAAGACAGTGCTAAGGGTTGACACCCATTGCTGTCCATGGCTGACTGCTGGGGGTGGTGGAACATCCACTCCATCTGCACCCACCCACTCACCCTTCTGCTTTGCCTCCCTCCACAGGCTGAAGTTTGCCTTCACGTTCTTCCTGGAAGACAACCAAGTCCCTGCCAGCTCAGTTTGCAGCCTCACGGATGCCCTGGACCCTGACATTCCCATCAAGAACATCCTCTCTGTCTGGAGGACAGCTGCAAGGACCAGCCAGGCCAATGTCCCTGCCTACAGCCAGAAGGGGCCAGCCCAAGGAAGTCGTTAGATGGAAACATCTGCCCCAGCTCTGGGGGCAATACATGACCCACATGTGGGCTCTTGGAGCAGCTTGAGCCTCCGAGCCCCTGAAATCCTGCTCCCCAAGGCCTGAACCCAGGTGGGAAGCTCCCACCTGGACCCACCACTGCCCCTCAGAGACCTCAAGCATCCCTGTCCCTCCCACCCTGCTGAGCCACATGGAGAGCATCCCCATGGACACATCCCCAGCTTCAATACCCCTGTCTTCAGTTAGCCAACTCTACCCCCTAAAACCCCCATATGGGTGCCTGAGAAGTTGTAGTCCCTTCTACGGCCCCGGTGCTGGCCAGCGGGTACATCTGTGCCTCCCCATGCTCATCATCAGTGGCCTCTGTCCTGCCTTGTTCTTCTCCTTTCTGTCATCATTAAATGCTCAAGGACCCATCTTGGTTTCTTGTTGTTCCTGAATTGGTGGTGGAGGGAACCTGGCTGGTGTCATGGGCACAACCAGACCATCTCAGGGGCTACTGTGGGACTCAAAGGCCCTCCAGACCTGGCAAGACCTTCAGTGGTCACAGGTCGCCGTCGGCAGGAAAGACCAGAGGTATCTCCCATTATACCCCAGTGCCTTTAAGGGTTTGACCCATGTGGTGAGATCCTTCTCTCCATCCTTCTGGAGGAGGTCCATGCCCAAACCTTCATCCTGTCCACACCTTCCCTGCAGGCATTGGTGAGACCTCCCAAGTATCTTCTCCAGGCTGGAGCATCACAGCTCCCTCAGCCTCTCCTAGGAGGGATGCTTCAGCCTCCTCATCATCTTGGTGGCCCTTCTCTAAGTCGAGTCTAAAGCTCTCCATAGAGGTTTGGCCAAATTGTTGCTGAAGACCACTTATCCCTTTTGGTTGGATGAATCCAATCAGCTCCCAACAGACCCAGCTTCTCAAAGGTCCATAATCATGGAACCCAAACTTTGAGTATGGCCCCAGCCATAGAGTCAGATGCTCCAGTCCCGTCACCACCTTCCCTGGTCTCTCCCCACTGTGGCCATGTCTCTTGTACTGGGCAGACCAGCACTGGATCCAGCCCTACAGGTGGGCCTCATCGGAAGAGAGATGAAGGATCCCTCCCTCCACCATAAGCTCGTGGTTCATGGTCAACCTGATGTCACCAGGACCTTTTCTACCAAGGTGCTTTCCAGGCTGGTGTCCCTATAGTGTCTGGTGCCAGGGACTGTCCCTCCCCAGGGGCAGGACTTTGGAACCCCATGAGGTTCCTTTCAGCCCATTTTCCAGCCCATTGAGGTTCCTCTGGGTGGAAGCGCTTTGGCTTCTCAGCTGATTCTTCCATTTGGTGGTGGCACCTGGAATGTGCTGATCTTCAGCCAGTTGACAACCCAGCTCGCTGCTCACCCATGTGTCACACATGTCAAATGTGTCACATATCACACGTGTCACACGTGTGTCACACACACATGTCAAACACTTGTTACACGTCATACAGGTTACACACATCACACACGTTACACACATCACACATGTGTCACACATGCGTCACACATGCATCACACATACGTCATGCACATCAAACACCTCACACACACATCAAACACTTGTTACACATCACACACATCACACACATGTCACACAGGTCACACATCACACACGTCGTACAGGTCACACGTCGCACACACGACATGTGTGACACCTGACACAAGTGTCACGCATCACATACCTGTCACATGCAGGTCACACGTTACACATCATATGTGTCGCACATCACACAAGTGTCACACATGTCACAAAACTGAAACAAAAGGAAAGGAGAATACAAAAAGAACCAGGGTGCATGTGTGTTTCTTGACAAAACCTGGTGACAGAAAAAGAGGCATTTGAAGGCCCACAGTTCCAAATCTCATTAGGTGTCATACAGCTCAGGGACACAGCACACAGGTTATGGTTTCTTTCAGAACACGAAAGTCAGATCCAGTGTTTCAGCACTTCTGAATATAAATAGTGTTCAAAATATTTTTATAGGGGTTTTGTTTGGTTGGGTTTGCTTTTTCTTTTGTGTTACCATAACACAATTTCAGTCTGTTAAATCTTTAACAAACAAGAAAGTCAGTCAATTTTGGATCATTAGAAACAGACAACCATTATGCACTTCTCTTATGCAAGCCCAGATTATGTTCTTGACCCCTAGCTCATTAAACTGAGGGAAAATTAAGCTATCTAATGGGCAAAACACCAAAACCCAACAACAACAAAGCAGCAGCTCAGTTGCTGTACTAGCCTAGAGTTACTGTACTGTCTCCCCAGGCAGGGACACCACACACTAAACCATGTCGCCCAAGGCCCTGTTCACCCTGGCCTTGGACATCGCCAGGGATGGAACATCCACAGCTTCTCTGGGCAACCCATTCCAGTGACTCAGCACTCTCTCATTAAAGAACTTCTTCCTTATATCCATCCTAAACTTCCCCTGTTTCAGTCAGAACCCATCACCCCTTGTCCTATCACTACTGCTCCTAATGAAGTGTCACTCCTTGGTATCCTTATAGCCTCCATTCAGATACTGGAAGGCTGCTATGAGGTCTCCACGCAGCCTTCTCTTCTCCAGGCTGAACAGCCCAAACTTTCTCAGCCTGTCTTCATATGGGAGGTGCTCCAGTCCCCCAGTCATCCTTGTGGCTCTCCTAGGCTTTTTCCAACAGTTCCATGTCCTTTTTATGTTGAGGACACCAGAACTGCACACAATACTCCAAGTGAGGTTTCAGGAGAGCAGAGTAGAGGGGCAGGATCACCTCCTTCGACCTGTTGGTCATGCTCCTTTGGATGCAGCCCAGGATACAGTTGGCTTTCTGGGCTGCGAGCGCACACTGAAGACGGCTCATGTTCAGTTTCTCATCAACCAACACAGCAAGTCCTTCTCCACAGGGCTGCTCTGAATCTCTTCTCTGTCCAACCTGTAGCTGTGCCTGGGATTGCTCCAACCCAGGTGTAGGACCTTGCACTTGGCATGGTTAAACTTCATGAGGTTGGCATCAGCCCACCTCACAAGCGTGTCAAGCTCCCTCTGGATGGCATTCCTTCCCTCCAGCATATCAACTGAACCACACAGCTTGGTGTCATCGGCAAACTTGCTGAGGGCGCACTTAATCCCACTGTCCATGTCTCCGACAAAGGTGTTGAACAAGACCGGTCCCAACACCAATCCCTGAGGGACGCCACTTGTTACTGGTCTCCAGCCGGACATTGAGCCATTGACCACAACTCTTTGTGTGCGGCCATCCAGGCAGTTCTTTATCCACCGAGTGGTCCATCCATCAAATTGATGTCTCTCTAATTTAGAGACAAGGATGTCGTGTGGGACAGTGTCAAATGCTTTGCACAAGTCCAGGTACCCCTGTCCATCAGTTCCGTATCCCTATCATAGACAGCCATCAAACTGGTCAGGCAGGATTTCCCCTTAGTGAAGCGTCGTGGTTTAAACCCAGTCAGGCAGCTCGTTCACTCACTCCCCCCCCCCCCCCACCTTTTTTCCCTCCCTCTACTCCCAGAGGGATGTAGAGGAGAATCAAAAAGAATGCAACTCCCGCGGGTTGAGATAAGAACAGTTTAGTAAATAAGGTATAACACAAATCACTGCTGCTGCCACCAGTGATAATAATGATGAAGGAAATAACAAGGGAAGAGAATACATCACCTCACCACCAGCCAACCGATAACTCGCCCCCCCACCCCGTCTGACTGAGCACCAACCCATACCTGTACAACCCCGCAGTGCCCCAGCCCTTCCGGATAACTCCCAGTTACATCATGTTCATGACGTGCTGCGGTATGGAATACCTCTTTGGCTAGCTTGGGTCAGGTGTCCTGTCTCTGCTTCCTCCTGGCTTTCCCTCCTCCCTGGCAGAGCATGAGACTCACAAAGTCCTTGGCCAAACCAAAACATCATTGTTATCAGCTCTGTTCCCAAGCCGAAAGTCAAAACACTGCATTGCACCAGCTACCAAGAAGGAGAAAAATGACTGCTACTGCTGACCCCAGGACATGAAGCCATGCTGGCTGTCACCAAGCACCTTATTGTTTTTCATGTGCCTTAGCTTGCCTTCTAGGAGACTCTGCTCCAAGACTTTTCCAGGCACAGAGGTGGGACTGACTGGTCTGTAATTCCCTGGGTTTTCCCTTTCTTGAAAATGGGGGTTATATTTCCCTTTTTCCAGTCCTCAGGAACCTCACCTGACTGTCATGATTTTTCAAATATGATGGACAGTGGCTTAGCAACTTCATTTGCCATCTCCTTCAGGACCTACAGATGGATTTCATCAGGTCCCATGGACTTGTGCATATTCACGTTCTTAAGATGGTCTTGAACCTGGTCCTCTCCTACAGTGGGCCCAAGGACTTCATTCTCACAGTCCCTGCATGTGCATTCCAAGACTTAGGTGGTGTGGTCAGAGCCTTTGCCAGTGAAGACTGAGGCAAAGAAGTCATTCAGAACCTCAGCCTTCTCCAAATCCAGTTCTCCTGATAGCTTCCGGAGGGGGCCCACGTTGTCCCTAGTCTGTCTTTAATTGCAGTGTACCCATAGAATCCCTTCCTGTTACCTTTCACATCCCTAGCCAAGTTTAATTGTAACTGGGCCTTAGCTTTCCTAACCTGGTCCTTAGCTTCCCGGACAACATCCCTGTACTCTTCCCATGCCACCTGTCCTTGCTTCCACCTTTTATAAGCCTCTTTTTTCATTTGAATTTTCCTCAGGAGCTCTTTATCCATCCAAGGAGGTCTCCTGGCCCTCCTGCTGCACTTCCTTCTAGTTGGGATGCAACACTCCTGAGCTTGTAGCAGGTGACCCTTGAATATCAACCAAATGCCTTGCCCCCCCCTGCCCTCTAGCGCTATATCCCATAGAACCTTACTAAGCAGGTTCCTGAAGAGGCCAAAGTCTGCTCTTTTGAAGTCCAGGGCACTGAGCTTGCTGCACACTCTTCTCACTGTCCTGAGGATCTCAAATTTGACCATCTCGTGATCACTGCATCCAAGGCTGCCCTGGAGCATCACATTTCCAACGAGCCCTTCCCTGTTGGTGAACACGAGGTCAAGCACGGCACCTCTCCTGGTCAGCTCCTCTATTACTTGCAGAAGGAAGTTGTCTTCCACACAACTGAGGAACCTCCTGGATTGCTTGTGCCGGGCTGTACCGTCATTCCAACAGATGTCAGGGTGTTTGAAGTCACCCATGAGAACAAGGGCCTGTGAGCGTGAGGCTTTTCCTATCTGTCTATAGAGTGCTTCATCCGCAGGTTCTCCTTGGTCAGGCGGTCTGTGACCGATCCCCACAGTAATGTCTCCCATCGCTGTTCTCCCTTTAACCCTGATCCACAGACTCTCTTTTAACTGCTCA